GCTCAGTTTTTATCAGTTTACTTATACTTCCCCCTGCCATTAATATTACATAGGAGCATAATCCGCCGGTAAATCAGGTTGGAAGCCATTATACACACGGATGCAAATCAAGAGAAAGAAGATCAAATTTCCAATGATAATTGTGAAGGAGATTCCCTCCAGAGGACCGAAGTACTTCTTTCTGTCAAGTCTGAAACCCTCCTGGCCTGATGGCGAGAACTTGGCTGAGGTTTTGGCACGGACGGTCCTTCATTTTCCAAGACCACAGACAGCCAACAAGTGGATATCTTAAGTAGTTGCACTCATACTGTGAGAAGAGGCTTCAGTTCATGTTTGGGAGCTGAATGTTATAAACTATGCAGATTATTACTGTATGCTTTGCCCCAAGAGTCATTTGAGAACTTTCTTTTGTTAGATAATATCAATCATAATCTTAGACCTGCAGAGCTGGAAGAGACCCTATGGATCATTGAACCCTATAAAGTAAGCACATTGGGGCATCAAACTCTGTAGCCAGAGATCTAAATGACTGAGCTATCCTATTCTCTTTGGCCTGGGCACGGAAGACAGAAATTCACCAGGTCAATCTTTCCTTTGCCGTTGTTCTTCCACCATGGGCAGTATTCAAGCCAGTCCTTCGTTTGTATTTCAACCAAGTGTTTCTCGGCTCAGCCCCGGGTCTCGGTAAGGCTTCTGCTCCCCATCTTTTTCGGAAGCAAACGGTTCTGTGAACTGGGATTTTGGATGTCTTGAGACTTCAACTCAAGATCTTCCTCTGAAAATGCAGCTGGACGTAGATTCAAGTCAGACGAGAGTCCTTCACCAACGGATAAATGGATTCAAAAGAGTTTGTGCTCACACACACTGCAGCTTGAGTACCTTTGACAGAAGCGATGTGCAGGAGAGAGGTGGCTATGGGGGGGGGGGAACTGTGAGCATCTCCTCAGCCCCTTCAGCTGAAGATCCACAGACCCCACCACTACTGAAAACAAAATCCATGAACTTGACTTGCACCGTTAGGTATGGGTGGAAGGATTGCACCACTGCGACATTTTAATGTCATCCTGAACCGTGTCTGACTGATAACTTTAAATGCATGTTTGTTCTGTTCTGCTGATCTCAGTTGCGTGCAGGGTGACCTCTCGCACAGCCAATATTCGAGCTGCTGAGCTCTCAGTAATTCTTCCTCTCTCCCCTAAGAGACTTCTAGAGGGACAACTCCGAGTGTTACCGCCTAAAAACCTTGGCTGCTCCATTTTCTCTCCTTAGTGTGTATGGATGTGTTTGTGTGTGTGTGAGGGCGGGCTGTGCTTGCTTCCAACTTCGGTGACATCACAAAGACCTTGCTAGTGACATCACAAAGCATGTTCGCTGTGACATCACCAGACGATTAGGGAACACAACAGGATCGCCATGTTTACAGCATATTCCACGGCTGGTTTGAATCGCCACGCAGACTGAGGCCGGGGATGTGATTTTAACATAAAGGACGTCGTGTGGGTGGGGAGAGGTAGCGTCTTCTTCAGCGTACGTTGTCCCTTTGCTTTTTCTCACAAATGAGAATTCTCCAGACTTAAGGGCTCTCAGGTGGCAGGTTATGAGAGAAAGGGGCCATAGGCTGTCCCAAGATAATGAGTCGTCCGAGATCGAGCAGTAAATAGTGTCTGTCCACACACATACACAAGCCTACCCAGTCCAAGGGGCCGAAAGCCAACAGAGTTATTTTGGCCCACAAAACAGCAAAACCCATCAGGGCCCCTCTCGGCCCTTGCCAGGAAAAATACAATTACTGTATAACGAGTGGTATATCTTTTTAAACACACAACTCTCTCTCTCTCTCTGCATCCATTTTCTCCCACAGCGGATGTAAAGAGATCAATTATGTGATTGGTTTGGCTGGCGCAATCTCTGGCTGCGGTTGATTTGGGACGAACCTTGGCAAAGCACCTCGTTTTTATTCCTCGATTTGAATATTAAGAACAAGTTGGCCTTTAATGCCAGGAAAAGGGAGAGCTGGTGGTGAGATTTTACTTCCGTCACGTGTCAAGATAACTTGGCTGGCACAGGAAACTAAGCATTGTGACTTTGAGAACAAGGAGTGGCACATTTTGCTTCATTATTATTATTATTATTTTAATTTCAAGCCGCAAAAATGTTCTGTCTCTGGTTTGTCGGATCAGATCCAAGGAGGTGCTCTTAATATAGGGGTTGCCTATGTTATTCGGGGGCGAGGATGGGCCGGGGGGGACCACAAGACGTGATGGTTACTTTTGGGGTAACTCCTGTTTCTTGGTTAACTCTCAAAAACCTTGGTGCCCCTTTTCCCCAAAAGCAAAAAATAAATAAATAAATCTGCTCTTACGTTGGCAAGGGGACTCCGACCTCAAGGACCTGCTTTTTCACAGAGGGCCATGACAGGATGAGACCACATTGCCTCGGGGCTGGCTCTCAATCTCCACCACCACCACCCCTGAGCCCGTGGGTTTGCGCCAACTTTTTTGAAATTCTCCCCAGCCGCCGATCACGCGTGCTCCGAAATACAGAAGCCGTTGCCAAACTGGGAACAACCGAGGCCCATATTTAGCTCCCAACGGTGTCGCCTGGCGAGGAGCTAATTTTGATCCGCTCCCATCGGGGCCGGGCCCTTTTCCCCCCCTGATGTCATCCCTTCTCCGGAGACTTAAAAAAAGATTCAGCATTAGTCAGCTGGAAACCCAGCCTGTGGGGACCACGGATTGATCATTCTTGCCTCGGACGTGACATAGGGCGAGGGCGGGGAGAGAGAGAAGACCCAGCCTCGGGACAGGAGGGAACCTCCTGGATCCAAACCAAGGGAGAAGGGTCAGGCAAGCAGTAACCGAGGGCAGGTTATTTAATTATTCACTTCATCCTCATCATCATATGCCATCAAATTCAGACTTACAGCAACCCTTTGCAACATGTCCAGTAACCGAGGGCAGGTTATTTAATTATTTACTTCATCCTCATCATCATATGCCATCAAGTCAGTTCAGACTTACGGCAACCCTTTGCAACATGTTCAGTACTCAAGTGGTGGTTTCCCCTCCGCTTCTTCTGGGGTGCCCTGGGACCATCATGCAGCTTGCCCAAGGCTACACAGGCTGACTCTTTTCCCAGGAGGGGGGGGAATCAAATTTGCAACCTCTGTCTCTGCAGCTACACACACACACTCCACAACCCAAGTCTCTCTTCCCTGCTCTGGCATTGCCAGCTTCAGAGTCCGGGAGTTTCGCCCTGAATGAGATTCTTTGCTCCGGTTGGTGTCCAGAACTTGAGAATGGCTTTTTGGACGGCACTCCCCATCCTCCACCCAAGCCACTAGGCATGCTTGGTGGAAGGGAGGGTTTCTTAAGAACTTTGAGGCCAAAGAAGGCCGTTTCTGCAGACTCGGTGCCTTGAGATGTTCACTCCTAGTCATCGAGCAGCAACGCTAAGAACCTACCAAGTATGGACTGGGGTGTTTCCCCACCTTCTGCCTCTCCTCCTCGCTCTGGCTGAGCCACAGGTGTGCAAACCCTCAGGCCTTTCTCTCTTTCCATTGAAGACGGGGGGGGGGCTTGGAATGCACACCTTTTGATGCGTTCTTGCAGCCCCCTCTCTTTGCTGCCTTCGGTTATTTTCTTATTGATTTGCCATAACGTTTGAGCAACGGTGCCAGATTCCTGCAGGATAGAAATTTTCCGTGTAAGGATCTCTCTTCCCCTTGCCAACACCCCCGGGGGGGCCCCCTGAATACCAAACGGTGCTCATCTCCGCTGGGTTATGCCTTCCAGGTAGAATTTTTATCTAGGCCCTCAGCTGGCAGGCTAAACAGAAGAAACCCTCAAAAGCCATCTGGCAGGCTTTTACTGCATCTCCACAGGGGACTGCAAGCGTGCTATTTTTATTTCATTTTTTTCTCCTCTGGGGCGACGGGTGGTGGTTCTACCATGATCCATAAAGAGTTTGTGTCTGTTTGTGCAAATTAAATGCAATACAACCGGGGGCATGGGAAAGTGGTTTTTCTGGATGACCAGAACTTTCCTGCCAGTCATCATGACTGGTGACCATGATGGTTGGGGGATTCTGGTCAAAAGCCATCTGGCAGGCTTTTACTGCATCTCCACAGGGGACTGCAAGTGTGCTA